AACGTGGAGAAAGGAATCCAAAGCTCGTGTTGGCTTTTCTTCAATTAAATTCGCAGTTATTAGGGCACTTTACTGTTTTTTCAGTTTCGTTTGATCGGAGAGAAGAAGAAGTGTGTGTTGATTGAGAGAGAGAGAGAAGATTTATTAATCAGCTTTTGGATTTTTTGATTTTGACTTTACGGCGGAGGCTGGTTAAGAGCTTGAGCTGATGATGACGAATCGAGGAGGTATGTTTATTGACCGGAGTTTTTTTTTTTGTTACTTTCGATTTTTCCGGCGACATTTCTGAGAATTTTCCGGTTAAACAGGTGGCGGAGGTGGAGAATATTTGTATAATGAGTTATGGAAGTTATGCGCGGGACCTTTGGTTGATATTCCTCAAGCTGGTGAAAGAGTGTTTTACTTTCCTCAAGGTCACATGGAACAAGTAAGGTTTCCTTCTTCCTCAATCCTTTTTTCTTGATTCTAGTTCTAGATCGATGGTTATATTTTCTATTTTTGGTGCCATTTTTTGTTTGTTTGTTTCAGCTCGAAGCGTCAACACAACAAGACTTAAATTCAGTGAAACCGCTTTTCGATCTTCCTCCCAAGATTCTCTGTAGTGTTATGAACGTTCGTCTTCAGGTATGTTCTTCTTCCTTAATCTCTACTTTAAGCATAGATCCATGGACTATGTTGTGTTTGACTAAACTATAATTGCTCAATTTAGCAAAGATTGAATTGCTCTTCTTCTAGGAAATGATCAGTTAGTTACAGTGATAGATGGGACCGTGTTTGACTTCTTTGTTTTGATCAAATTAATCACTTGTGTTGTTGTCAGGCGGAGAAAGAAACGGACGAGGTCTATGCCCAGATTACTTTGATCCCTGAAGGAACAGTGAGTGACTATTATTTTGCTTGTTGCAATTTTCTCAAATCCAGTGAGTGCTTATCTCTAAATGTTTTCCGGATTTATAAACTGCAGCAAGTTGATGAACCTACGAGTCCTGATCCTTCTCCTCCCGAGTTGCAGAGGCCTAAAGTTCACTCTTTCAGCAAGGTTTTGACTGCGTCTGATACAAGCACACATGGTGGATTTTCTGTTTTACGGAAACATGCGACGGAATGTCTTCCTCCGCTGGTATTTGGACACCCTGAAAATTTGTGCTTAGTTTCCTACCACATGGCTTCGTGTTTTGTCTTGGTGGATTTCAGTCTTTTAATATGAATTTCATTTGTTTGTCATCCTTTAGGATATGACCCAGCAAACCCCGACCCAGGAGTTAGTAGCCGAAGATGTGCACGGTTATCAGTGGAAATTCAAGCATATTTTTAGAGGTGATTAGAATCCATTTCCTGTAAACTCAGATCAAACTTCATGCATCTATGACAAAGTTAAAATGAAATGATAATTTCCTGATTTCCTCTGGTTCATAATCCACAAGATATGCTCATGTGACAAATTAGGTTTGTGATTTACCGATCTTGATTTACCCTAAACAGGCCAGCCACGGAGGCATCTTTTGACGACCGGGTGGAGCACCTTTGTTACATCAAAGAGATTGGTTGCTGGAGACACTTTTGTATTCCTGAGGTATATTTCGCACTGCTGCCTGGCTTTTTTTTTTTCTTTTGATTGTCCATTGGTAGATTTTGAAGTTAATTTTTCCAAACTATGTTATATCATCCAGAGGGGAGAACGGAGAGTTGCGGGTTGGAGTCAGACGTGCTAACCGACAACAGAGTAGTATGCCTTCATCTGTCATATCAAGTCATAGCATGCATCTTGGAGTGCTTGCTACTGCATACCATGCTACTCAAACCCGAACTATGTTCACCGTATACTATAAACCAAGGTATACAGTTATTACTTTTCGGGAACATTTGGATGAATTTCTTCGACATTCTGCTTATTGATTTAGTCTCGGTTTGAGCAGAACAAGCCAGTTCATCATTAGCTTGAACAAATATCTCGAAGCCATGAGCAATAAGTTCTCTGTAGGGGTGAGATTTAAGATGCGGTTTGAGGGAGATGATTCCCCTGAAAGAAGGTAGTCTGAATTTTTTATTTACCCTGCAAATACTTTTGTCCCCAAAGCTGTTCTCTAAACACATATCTGTTTCTTTAAAAAGTTTTTCTGGCACGGTTGTTGGCGTTAAAGACTGCTCCCCCCACTGGAAAGACTCAATATGGCGACGCCTAGAAGTAAAACTCCTTCCACTTCTATACATTCTTCTTAAAATGTTTCTAAGTATAAAATCTCAATCAGTCTGCTACATTTTTGTGTAGGTTCATTGGGATGAGCCTGCATCAATTTCAAGACCTGATCAGGTTTCACCATGGGAAATCGAGCCTTTTGTAGCTTCAGAAAATGTTCCTCCGGCAGTTGTGTATAAGAACAAAAGGTCCCGTCAAGTTAGTGAAGTATCTGCACTTGGTGAGACACAATTTAATCGTCAGTTTTCCTTGCTAGTATGTAGCTCAAGCTTCCTTGCTACATATCTCACTCACACATTGTGTCTTTAGATGTAGGCATAACATGTTCAAACCTTTGGAGTTCCGCATTAACGCAATCCCGTGAGTTTGCACAATCGTGCATCACCTCACAGAGGAGTTCTCCTCAGCAACTTTATCGTGATGCAACTGAGGATGCTAAGAATCCTGATTGGCTAATGAGCTCTTACGCTGTGTCAAATGTGTCAAAAGACTCAACCCTGAACGATCAAATGGTTTTCCCAGTCGAGCAGAAGAAACCCGAGACAACCGGTAATTACAGATTATTTGGAATTGATCTGATGAGTTCCTCTCTAGCGGCTTCCGAGGAGAAAACTGCACCCGTGCGACCCATCAACATAACCAAACCGTCTCCGGATAGCAACTCAGACCCACAATCCGAGATTTCAAAAGTATCAGAAGAGAAAAAGCAGGAACCTGCACAGCCATCACCAAAAGAGGTCCAAAGCAAGCAAAGCAGTTCTACAAGAACCCGTACCAAGGTATGTAATGAACACTTGGTATACACAGATAAGCACATACATCACATGATCTAGCTAGATATCTATCAACACGCCAGTGGACAAAAGTAGCTGTATATGTTATGTCATGTGTAATGCTTGAGTTCCTGATCAGATACACAGTGTGTATAATTGTTTGCGGGAATGTACACAGATCCTGATTCAGTGATTGTTGAACAGGTGCAGATGCAAGGCGTACCCGTGGGCAGGGCTGTGGATTTAACTGCGCTGAATGGGTACAGTGAGCTTATAGACGACCTTGAGAAGCTGTTTGAGATAAAAGGTGAACTACGGAGTCGCAATCAATGGGAAATAGTGTTCACAGACGATGAAGGAGATATGATGCTTGTCGGTGATGACCCATGGCCGTAAGTAACACACTCTCTCTTTCTCTAATCTAATAGGAATCATATTAATAAGGAAATCAAAATGGTAAGTTTTTTGCTTCATTT